AGTTTCAAGAGGTCATTGGCTGGTATTGTTAAATATAGACAAATCCATATTTGTCTATATTTGTCCATATTTGTCCACAACATTTCACTTCCTTAAAATAAATATTGTGTTGGTAATACATTTTATTTCAGAAATTATTTATCTTTTTCATATATCAGATATTTAGTGGAGATTGATGTGCCAGGTGTAGTAGGGTACCATTAGTATCCATGTAAAACAACGAGGAGAGAATTGTAAATGTTCACAGTCCATGCTCTCCATGTTTCCTCTCGCCACTGGTATTTTATAAATGTCACCAGAGTAGAAAGATTCTGATGACACTATAATTTGTTTAGGATCTGTTACCTTCTGAGGGATGGCAGAGATAATACCACCCTGAACTGAATAACAAGTTGTCTTTATTTTGGTTACAATTGAGAACATGTCTGAAAATATGTGATATTTTTCTGAATCAATGCCTGACGTATACATGACGCAAGGCTACGTATGTGCCATTGTGTTTACATAAATGCAATTTCTAAAATAACCCAGCAACGACATCAACTGTAATTTTTGTGGAACGCCTGTAATAACAAATATTGTGTAATGTGATCTTGGTATTTTCTCTCTCTCTCTCTCTCTGTGTGTGTGTGTGTGTGTGTGTGTGTGTACGTTCATGTGCATGTATTTTGGGATTTGTGATGGGGTGAGGTGGGATTTTATGGAAAATATCATCCCGACTTATGTCCCTGTCTATATCTGTTCTAAAGTCACAGAGTGAGATCTATCCAGCTAGTAGGATGGGTTTATGGGAATGCAGTCTTAGACTTTAAGCTTATTGGTGGCCTGTGATAAACAGTTCTTGGTAGTTAATCACTCAGACTCTGAGTTGAACTGGTAAGGTGTCTGTGTATTTATAAGCATTGGAAAGTCATTTTTGTTTATCAACTATAAACAAATCCCTAGTATTTCAAGGCTATTTTTATAACATTGGAATTGCTCTGTTGTTTGTTAGTTTGTTTATCCATTTATTCATTGTATCTGTAAATAAACAAGTTTGTTAATACATTGTTAGGTCTTTAAAGACACAAAGATTTAATTACATACTGTATGGAATCACAAGTTTTGGTTGGCAAGAAGCTAAATAATAATCAGACTGCATGGAAGACTTCGTGCACCTGATGTTTGCTACCAGAACAGTAGAAGTACTGGTGATCAGCACACTAAGAGGTCCTTGAACCTTTTGGAATCAATAAACAACTACAAAATTCCAAGAACCATGCTGAATCATTTGTGTCAGAAAACCTGTTTACATCTGAAAACTTAAGTTTATTGATTTGGGTCCTGTTTTTTTTTTTTTTATAAACTATATGGTTGTTATTGCGTTGTCACAGTCAGTGGAATGATTCTTAATAGACATGTTTTGGAATTGTCTCTGAAGTTCAAGCCCATATTACAACTGGAATAACCCCAAAATATGAGTAGCAAAGCCATATTGATTTATTGCAAAATTGCATGACTGCAAATTCTAAGAAACTGGGAGTATCTGAAGGATTAATGTACTGAGTATACCAGGATTGATATGCTGGGCATAATTACCTCTTTAAGTACACTGGGATATGTGTACTACTTTGAAATAAAAGTACTTTATAAATGGTCTCTTTTCCTCTCTACTCCCTCCCCCCCCCCCCCCAATCCCCAGCCCAAAAATTAAAGACCCTTGGCTTTCATTGGAATATGGATAGTGTACTTTAATTCTTGGGTTGTGTTGAACTCCATTGTGGTCATTGTATCATATAATAGCCAGATTATTAATAAGTTGTCTCTCTCTCTCAAATCTGATATGTACTGCTTGGCTTTTAAAAGTCCTTAGTGTCCTGGTAAATATGTATGCTGAAATAAAAGTACTTTCCTGGTTATTTGAGCCTTAATTTTCAAGCTTGGAATCTTTTGGACAAATATTCTCAATGTAATACTACTTTTCTTTATTTCATTAATAGAAGTGACTCATCATTAAGTCCCCATTTGGTGTCACTGCTAAACTTTCTGTATATCATATATTGTTTAATTTTCCATTAATGTGTTGGAAGTCTTATAAATAGAATTCCATGTTTGTCTGGAATAACAATGATTTGACAGATTTACCAGGTCCATAATGTTTACATTTGTTCTTAATCCTCATTTATCTCTCAAAGTTTGCTAATTTTTAACATTATCATTTATTCCTAAGTGGTTTTTACAAATACCCAACAGCATTGTAATACACCTACAGACACTTGATACATCAGGGTTATATAATATTAAAACAGTATTTTTAATGTATTAATTGGGTGGTTAAAGCACTACTCCAGTACTGGAGCCCATGGCAATGTTCCAGAACACCTAATGTGATTGAGCCAGGCATAAGATTTCCCATTAAATTACAATTCATTCTGAAGAATATGTTATAAAGCAGCCTGATTAGACTGAAATGAGACAGCATTCAGTACATTAGCCTACTTTTCCCCCTCCCCATTAGTCTTTCAAGTTTTATTTGTGGGGTTGATAACCCTCAGAAACTCCAATGGAAAATTCAACCCTCCTGTGTCAACAATTACGAATCCCACTTTGTACCTTGATAAGATATGAAGGGTGATCTGAAGTCAACAAGATAACACTGCACTCCTTGCTCCCAGGGACGACTTAGGCCCCATTCACGACCAAAGTTGATCCGAAGACTAACAGATTCACGGATGAAATATGGCTGACTCACTTGAAAGCTTGCCGCGTAATCCCTGTGGGAAATTATTCCGTGTTTGTTAGGAGATTATGCGTCAAAGTTTCAAGTGGATTGGCTGTATTTGATCAGCGGATCTGTTAGTCCTTGGATCAAGTGGTTGTGAATGTGTCCTTTCAAGGCCAGTGGTTTTTTTTTTTTTCCATAAGTCTATATTGCGTGGAATCCAGGCCTCCCTAACTACCACCAATTTTGCAACATGAATGCCAGACTTTCATGAAGATAAATTCAAGCAGAAGCTTTGTGTCATCAGCATACATTAACCTGTATTTGTCTTCCAAGTGTCACTCATTTATCCAAAATATTCTTACACCTTAAAGTGTCTATGCATGCCAGCGATTTATTTTCTTAACTTGTAGGGAGAGATATTTTTATTTTCTATGTATAGTAAGTTGTGATACATATTGAATTGTTTTTTTTTTTTTCCAGCCTCTCTCCCCCCTAGCCCTGCTGACAGCGGGTACTCAGACCCAGAGAGTAGCAGTGATGAGGTGAACAAGATACGATTAAAAGGTAAATATTAAAAAAGGTTTCATATCACACAAAGGTTTGGGATTTTTCAGGTTCAAGGTTACTGAACATAGCAGTTGCACACCAAAACAAACCATGTTCTCTTTTCAGCATTCCTAGGGCCCAGACCCCCTCAAGAGAAATCTAAGCAATTTTTTTTACTAAGTATCAGGTTTCTTTTTATTTAAGTCAATAACTGAGCAAATTAAGCATCCTCTATGAAAAAAAGCTGTATTGTGCTCTGAATGAGTTCAGGGCAGGATGTGGTACGTATGTACCTATTCCCANGTGTTGGAAGTCTTATAAATAGAATTCCATGTTTGTCTGGAATAACAATGATTTGACAGATTTACCAGGTCCATAATGTTTACATTTGTTCTTAATCCTCATTTATCTCTCAAAGTTTGCCCATTTTTAACATTATCATTTATTCCTAAGTGGTTTTTACAAATACCCAACAGCATTGTAATACACCTACAGACACTTGATACATCAGGGTTATATAATATTAAAACGGTATTCTAAATGTATTAATTGGGTGAGCACTACTCCAGTTCTGGAGCCCCTGGCAATGTTCCAATACATATAATGTGATTGAGCCAGGCATAAGATTTCCCATTAAATTACAATTCATTCTGAAGAATATGTTATAAAGCAACCTGATTAGACTGAAATGAGACAGCATTCAGTACATTAGCCTACTTTTCCCCTCCCCATTAGTCTTTCAAGTTTTATTTGTGGGGTTGATAACCCTCAGAAACTCCAATGGAAAATTCAACCCTCCTGTGTCAACAATTATGAATCCCACTTTGTACCTTGATAAGATATGGAGGGTGATCTGAAGTCAACAAGATAACACTGCACTCCTTGCTCCCAGGGACGACTTAGGCCCCATTCACGACCGAAGTTGATCCACGGTCTAACAGATTCCCAGACGAAATATGGCTGACCCACTTGAAAGCTTGCCGTGTAATCCCTGTGGGAAATCTATTCCGTGTCTATTAGGGGATTATGCATCAAAGTTTCAAGTGGATTGGCTGTATATGATCAGAGGATCTGTTAGTCCTTGGATCAAGTGGTTGTGAATGTGTCCTTTCAAGGCCAGTTGTTTTTTTTTTCCATAAGTCTATAGTGCTTGGAATCCAGGCCTCCCTAACTACCACCAATTTTGCAACATGAATGCCAGACTTTCATGAAGATAAATTCAGGCACAAGCTTTGTGTCATCAGCATACATTAACCTGTATTTGTCTTCCAAGTGTCACTCATTTATCCAAAATAATCTTACACCTTAAAGTGTCTATGCATGCCAGCAGTTTATTTTCGTAACTTGTTAGGGAGAGATATTTTTATTTTGTATAGTAAGTTGTGATACATATTGAATTGTTTTGTTTTGTTTTTTTTTTTCCAGCCTCTCTCCCCCCTAGTCCTGCTGACAGCGGGTACTCAGACCCAGAGAGTAGCAGTGACGAGGTGAACAAGATACGATTAAAAGGTAAATATTAAAAAAGGTTTCATATCACACAAAGGTTTGGGATTTTTCAGGTTCAAGGTTACTGAACATAGCAGTTGCACACCAAAACAAACCATGTTCTCTTTTCAGCATTCCTAGGGCCCAGACCCCCTCAAGAGAAATCTAAGCAATTATTTTACTGAGTATCAGGTTTCTTTTTATTTAAGTCAATAACTGAGCAAATTAAGCATCCTCTATGAAAAAAAAGCTGTATTGTGCTCTGAATGAGTTCAGGACAGGATGTGGTACGTATGTACCTATTCCTACACTTTATTTCCTGTCAGAAATCAGGAAGTATCGGGTTCTCCAGACAATACCTCACTGAGTGAGATAGGGCTGCATATGGCTTTCTGTCTCATTCCATCAAGCACACATTCTTCATATTTGTCCTGCCACAAGGAAGTTTTGGGACAAAAAGTCTTTCAGTAAAGCCTCCCCAAGGCAAAGTAGCTGGTGTGCAGGCGCCACATTGTCACAGTGGCAGTTGCTGGAACCAGGAAGTAAAGAATTGGTTATTAAGCCCAGACAGAGGCCACCTGGCAGGGGCCAGTGTTGTCTTAGCTGGCGCTGAGAGATGGCTTCATATTTGCACAAATAATCTTGATATTATTAGCCAGATATGTTGCAAAGTAGCTGGTGAAATGTAGGGCATGGTTGATTTGAAAGTTAAAAAGCCTTTTCCCTGATGTGTTTAGATCTGGAAAATGGTTGCTGTTTTTTTCCCCTTTCTTCTTTTGTTTTAATTAATTTCTGTGATTATAGATCAATCAAAGAACACAGTATGTTACTTGTTATCAGTTTCCTTTTGGTGAGTTGGAAAAAAAGAAATGGTAAGCTTCTTGTTGTGACAGAAACATTCCACCACAGTCACCACAATAGAAAGGAAAGGCCAATGGAATAGTGATTCATTCTATATATTTAGAGAGTTTTATGAAGTATTTGTCATCTGTGGTTGATCTTTTTTTGGTGCTGATGTGTTGCTATTTTCTCATGGACATTACGTCATCGTTGCAGTTGGTAAAAGTTACCGACGGAAATACCATTTCTTTCAGTTTACGTCGAGTGTTAATGAGTTTCTATGTTGGTCTTGGTTGCCTGCAAGGGATTGTAAAAGTCTGTAGCAGTTTTTGTCATAGTTATGATAACTAATTGGTAGCACAATTCATCTTTGCGCTTGAAAGCTTTTTAATGAGACTCAGGTTCCAAAGTTTCTCAATTCGCGAGAGGATCCAGGGCAGTTGGTGCAGAGAATGGCAATGCGTTGGGACCTCTCATTGTTTGCTGCTGCTGCATGTCTGAAAGCGAATCACAACCATTCATTTTAACTTTGTATGGGAGAATTTTTGGTATGGGAATCCTGAAAAAGTCTTCAACTTCCTTTTGGTTTGCAAATCATTCATGATGTACGTGTTATTTGACAGCAGTTAATAGTTAAGTGAAATGGACTTGTTTTGTTACCAAGTATTGGGGAAGAGTGGGGGGGGGGGGATGTTGTTTTATAATACCAAAACTTCTCTGAGCTGATATTCTTGTGAATGTGACTCATTTGTCATTCCTTCAAATCAAAAGATATACTCTATTTCCTTAGTATGATTTCCTGGTATTGCAGAACAGAAAACATGTCCATACTTAAGAACATTTTAAAAATTAAACATTTTAAAAATCAAGCTCTTCCCTTATGACTACTATTATTTTATATTTTTCAGGTCTAAATTCCAATTTGTACAGTCCCACAGAAACTTTCATTCCGCCATATTGCCGTGGTGCACCGACAGTGCTGCCCCCACAGTCCTCCTTCTTTCACCACGGAATAACACACATCGCAATGAGGCCAGGTGAGCATTCATACATTAAAGTTGCTTTTACACTGTCATCACCTTGGTGAGTGAAAATGTCCGACACTTATTCCAAGGCTCTGTAAAATTGCTTGTTTTTTAGCAGTAACTATCCTTTTGTAATGCTTTTTACTTTCTATGCCCTTATCAGGGGCGTAACCAGGCATACGCACGGATGCACTGTGCGTACAATTTTTTGAGCCAACCATGATATTATTCTCCATAAATTCAGTGTATTTTTCAAGGAATATAATCGTACCTGGGAATTTTCAAAATCTGTGCGTACAATTTTAAATGGTCTGGTTACGCCCCTGCTTATGTGCCATTCTTGATATCTTTGTCAAATTCATTATGGTTTAAGTGAAGGTCAGCTGAATGGTTAGATAGGCAAATAGAGAGAAAAAGCTCTAAAAATTGTTTAAAGAGTTTTAGCAGCCAGAGATTGAACTTGAGAGTCGGGTCTCTTACGCACTAAGAGAGTTATTTCTGTGCTGCAAAGCCAGGAAGTGGTACAGGATCTGGCACTTTCCCACATCAAATAACACCCATTTGTACCTCCAACTTCATTTTGGGTGAGAGATGACGTGAGGGGAAGGGTAAAAATAGGTCCTGTTACATGGGCATCTGTAGACAGGAATATAAATGGACGCAGGTAAAAGTAACATAAACAGGAACTCCGTTCAGAACTTGCAGGAGTAAATTGAGAGGCAAGTTGTCAATAAACTGTGGTGCCTATATTTCAGGAATTGGTTTCTCTTATTTGTGATGGCTTTATCTACAAGTCATAGTATTTTTGAGTGGTTTTGAATTGTAGAGGCAGATAGAATGCTATGTTTTATTGTTTCTTTTGAAAATTTATATCTTTTTCATCTCTGTTCTGGTCTTACATCTTGACTTCCTATGCTTTTGATAATCCATTTGGGGCAATGAAATTTGTTGAAAAAATATTAGAGAAAAAAAGGAAGCAAAAACATCAAAACATGATAGGATACCAAAGCACACCTTACTGCAACAGTTGGACGTATGCATTACACCAAGCAGCATAGATGAAAGCTTCTCATCTATTATTCTTAGATGTTTTGTGATGAATGAATTTGCCCCACCATTCATTATTGCATCCTCCTTTGAGTTTGATGAGGTCACAACATCCGTCAGAGGCCTTGGATTTGTGTCAATTTACTCTGATTTACGATTACTTCACAGGTGGTGTTACAGTGCAGGGAAAACAATTATGTCTATTCAATGCAACTTAGATTCCTGATGTTAATATATTGAGAAAAAAAAATATGAGGCCGCAAGGAAGTGCAAGCTATGTTTAGAGCAAGATGTTTACATTTACCTCAACTGAAAATGATAAACTGTCTTGGAAATGGCCTTCATTTCTTTCTTATTTAGATTATTATAACAGTCATCTGTGTTTACAACTCTAACAGTGTGCCCTGTTGTAGTAAATATGAAAGTGGTGGCTCTGAAGGAAATAATACGAAGCGATCATCTAATACAGTATGTCATGCATACTTGCTGCAGCATGATAAAAAAATTAAAATTCATTTCTTTTCTTAATTTTCTTTTTATAAACTGCATGACCTACAACTAAGCTGTGCATGTTGACAGTGTAACAACATGACTGACAAAAAAAAAAAAGCAAACCTACAAATTAATTGGTTCATATTTTAAATGGCTTCGTATCTTTAATGATCAATTTGTGTGCATAAGCCCAACCTCTGGCGAGACAGGTTGCTGTACCTACATAGCATCTCTTCTCGCCAGCGGCTTTGGGCAGGAGAAGTAGGAAGTTTGGGTATGGTCGTACCAGGCAACGTGTTATGTCAATTAAAAACTCTGGACCTTATAATTTGGTCTTTGACCGCAAGCCTGACCCATATGTGGTTTATATTTTTTTACGTCTTTTCCTAATGCCAGGTCCTCAGTAAAGGAATAGGAAGTAGTAGACATTAAAAGCTTAGCCAGGTATTGACATTAGTGCAATTAGATTCCCGTAATGATGATGGTGGAATTCTTAACGAGGTTTAGAAAAGTTTGTGGTTTGCCACCGTTCCAGCTGGTACCACTGAGCCACAAGGAGTAAGGCAGAGCGCACATAATAATTAAACAGGCGTTATTTGTTTCTGGAAACATGTATTAGTATAGGTAAAGAGCCACCGCAGCCTGGCACCCTGATGTTGGAATTGCCCTGTTCACATTTGAAGATCATTTAGCTATGCAGTCCACACCTGAGAAGGCTCCAGTACTGGCATACATAATCAGACAGTAGATAAAGCCTCTATATAGCCAATGTTCTTAAGTACAACAAAGCTCTGTTATTGCTCAAAAGTAAAGAAGACCCAAATTCATACGCTTGAAAATTGTCATTTATTGAAATGCCAAAAAATAATATGATACATATTGTTTGTGCATGGTAGTGAGAATTATTAGGAGTTGAGATAAGTTTTATCAATGCTCCTTTTGGTTTCTGTAGCAGCAGGAAAAAAATTACCTGGATATATAACCTTTTTCCAGTTTAATATTCTTTTTTTAAGGGGAAAAATATACCAGTGGAAATAGTTGCAGAAAGCGTAAATATTCAACTTCACCAACAGCTAAAATTCAATGTTTATTAAATATAGGAGAAAAAAATTATGATGCAAAATCCAACCTACTGAAATATTATATTTTCCAAGCACTTAATATACAACCCAAAGTGAAAAAACCATTTGAGTTCAATAGCAAATTAAGCTTTGTCATTAAAGAGCATTTGATCCATCCTTTGTTCCAGTATCGCTAAAGTTGAAAGAATATGAACAAGTCTCAGTTTAGGTAAAGAGAGAAGAAACTAGGTCTTGATGTACCATTATAAATTGATCTTAGAGCACTCAATAACTACTACTATGGACCAGGGAACACTGCTCTGTGTAATGGGGAAAACTTAGTGATCACGAACATCTTACACCGATACATGTAATATTATCTTTGTGTTGCAAAACACGCAGGGGACACCTGTTACCATCAGGATATTATTCAGTTCTTTCTCTCCTCATACATATTGCTAAGAACAACTTCTATCATGTGGGCTTCAACCTATCAGGTAGAATAATTGAAATGAAAGATTGCCAATGGGTGACTGCTAGTAAGATCTTTCTTGAAGCAAATATGTTATATGTTGTTGGAAGACCTCAAAAGGTGCAGTTATTGTATACTACAGCATAGTTCATAGTTGAAACATCATTGTGATATGATAACTTCACTTCAAGGAAATAAAAATATGATGGTGCAAGTCATGCATTTAATGGGTTGAGATTTTTCACATAAAGCACATATTTTTGGTAAGACTCTTCAGTCTTGTTCATTTTTTTTACTGCACTATCACCCAAGCAAGCATTTATTTTTCGGAAACATTTTTGGGATGGGTGTAATTTATGGAAATGAGGGTCGTCATTTAACATTTTCAATTAAAATTATGAATTTCCAAGTGCAGTACCATTTCAGTTGGTGCAAACTTATGATATTATGTGCTGTGTTTAAGACTATGAATAGTATGAAGGAAAGAGAGCTGACTGAAGAGTTCAGATTCTGGTCGCCTCAATATATGTACTGTGCACTTTAGCATTCAGTGTTGTCCCAAGTGCTCCTCTGCTAGCTGTGATTTTATCAGCTTAAATGATAGAGTCTTTGCATGTCACGATAAATATAGTATCCACATATAAATAGATGACTTCCTTCCCATTCATTGTGAGCTGGGAGACAAAGAGTTGTTATTATAGCTGTTGGCAGGTGAAGATCCGAAGAGCGCCGGGGCATTGTGGGGTTAACTTAGTAAACTATTGTGTCTTGAAAAGGAAGTCATTTTTTTCTGCGTCATTTTTATCTGTTCATTGATGGAAGGGGAATGGCCGTTCACTCTTTGGGTATGAAATTTGGGTTGAAGTTTGACAGTGAATAGGGTTGGGGGAGGAGCTGGTACCAAACATTATGAAGAAAAAGATACACTCAGATCTTCAGTTCTCTCTCTCTCTCTCTCTCTCTCTCTCTCTCTCTCTCTCGGAGGTTGGGAAAGATTGCGACCCTTTTGACTTGCATGTAAAATTCATATATACAGAATCTCTTTCTTATTTCAAGTTTGCATGTACTCCACCAGCATAACATATGTCCTGAAACACAGACAATCTCTGTTATGATAGACAAAACCTATAACCTTTGAACATAGCATGGAATATATACAGTTGTGTTCTCATCTTAAAGCTTATTCCCCACCCCCACCCCCACCCCACCCCTTTTTCCAATTTAATCAAGTGTTTTTTGTACAGGCTCAGCAGTACTTCAATACAGAAATAAGGAAAAAAATATGTAGTTCACTTTGATATGTGTGAGGTAATTCAGTGGTACCTGAGCTGCTTATGCCAGAACACTTCAAGCATTGGCAAGAGCTGTTCAGATACATGTATTGCAAGAGGGCTGGTAGTGTATTATTCCACATAAATTCATACATGGAGAAAGTCCTTGCATTTCGCTGAAGCCGAATAAAGTGTATAGTGCCACATCTCTAGGTACAGAACTAGGGAGGAATAATATATAGTTCTCTATGATGTATGTTCTTAATTTGTCTGTGTTCCAGATCACATGTACACTCCCACCGTGATCCCCAACACAGTGAATGGCATGCTGGCCCACCCCAGTGCCTTCTGCCAGGCAGGAGGAGAGGAAGAAGATGAAGACGGGTCCCACTCCCCACCGTCCTCACCCACGCGGAAGATTAAAAAAGGTGAGTGGTCAGTTAGCGATATGTTGTGTGCAGGTAGCCATTAAGGTTTCCACCACTGACACGGGCAAGTAAGCATGTGAGTGGCCATCTGGAGCATGCTCTGGGACACACCCATATACACTGTGTTCACCCTTTCAAAAAAAAAAAAAAATGCCATGTGGTCAGTTAAGCTATGTAGAACATTATCATTTAATTTTTGCCCTTTGGCTCAGACAATAAAAAACTTTGTCACACACTCCTGAAAAAAACAATGACTGGTCAGTTAAAAAACTAATGCAGGTCCCCATTTAAACCCAGGACAATGACATAGACCATTAGTAATAGTAGACCTGGACAAACTATATTAGAAAGATTGCCAACTTCCTCAATTCTTCTGTGTCCAGATGCCAGATATCAGATAATGTCGTACTAGTACGTGAGGGGACATTATTATGACAAATTATACAAATTCCACAATTATTCATAAACTGGTGTGGTAAGTTGTTTGAGGCCAAGCTAGTCCTGTGAGTTAAGTTAAGGAACCTTAGGCCTTTTTCACATTGTGGGATATACTTTTCTGTTTTACACCATTTTGACTAGTCAAAACATGTAATAATGTTTTTTTTTTATTTTTATTTATTTATTTATTATTATTATTATTTTTTTTTTTTGGGGGGGGG